TGAGGAGGCCAACTCTGTGGGATCGCACTGGACGGTGGGAGGCTACCGGTGGCAGTAGGTGGTCTCGCAGATACCCTGGACCTAAGCTATGGAGCGCTTTAAAGGTCATAATTAATACCTTGAATCGCATCCGGAAGACAACTGGCAACCAGTGCATTAATGAAATTTATATTTTGTCTTTTTGTTCAAGAGCGCATAAAGCATTGCTTCCTTTTTCTCCAGCACATCTCTATGAAGCAGGTTGGGCCAAGAACGAATGCTGGTGCGAAGTCACCAGTTCAATGAACTTTTGTGATTGATGGTGGAGCAAAACCTAACTCTTCTCAGGGCCAGTCCAACATCTTAACCACTACTTCAACCTCTTGTTCCAAAATATGGATGAAGGGGGTCTGTTATTCCCAAATGTCCATTGATTTGCATATTACAACATTTGCAAACATTTGTTTTATTTCTGTAGTACGCCATTTGCAAATGATACAAATCACAATCCTCTTCAGAGATCTGCATCATACTATCATTACATAAACATAATATATTATTAATATAAATTTAAATGCCTTGTTTGTATTACTATATTTTGTGACTATTATTTTGGGAGGAAGTCTGCGCTTGGTTAGATGCATCTGAAGTTTCCTAAACAGTAATTACCAATTACTACCATCATGATACCCTCTGAAGATTAGGGAAATTTTTAACTGATAGATCCAGCTTTGGAAGAAATCATCAATATTGTGTACACTACTCCAATGGAGTTTTGGGGGTTCTATTCTTTTAAATATACATAGAGCTTCTATTATGATTGCTGGGGTAGTCTTGTTTCATCTAGGTTCAGCACAAAATTTGGAAACATTGTCAATGGAATCCTGAAATCCATTGTTTCAAACTCAGAATCTTTTTCAGACCACTAGTCAATTTGAAAGTGAAGGCTCCGGCTATGAACATTCCCAATGCAATGTGATATTTTGATGCCAGCTTCATAAATAAATCATAAAAGTGCATTTTACAGTATGTTTTGTCTAATGAAAGTCGCAATCATGCCCATTTGAAAAGATGAAGACCAAATGAGACTCAAAAAAAGGGATTTCACCTTTGCTTTTCCTTTTGGAACATAGTAGATTCCAGAAGCTCGCAGAAGAAAGTAACGTTTCTTCCAAGATTTTTTACCATCATCTTTCAGCCACAGAACTCCCTCGATTTCTGGCACTGTTACTGAGCTTCCACAAAAACACTCCTAGAACATACGGGTAAAAGAATTGTGAAAAATAAACTTTAGGTATTCAGAAGAAAATGTTTTGCATTAGTTGTCTCTAATCGGTCTAGTTGTCTCCACTAGACCGATTAGATCCCACAGATTAGGCCTCCTCCGAATTCCATCCGCCGGCCAGTGTCGACTGGCGACTACCCGGAGGAGAGCCT